ACTCTGTCTTTCATGTGGCCCAGTCGTATGACACTTTTCACGGCTGTATTCAAATTCTAAACAAACGTACACTCTGTCTTCCATGTGGCCCAGTCGTATGACACTTTTCACGGCTGTATTCAAATTCTAAACAAACGTACACTCTGTCTTCTATGTGGCCCAGTCGTATGACACTTTTCATGGCTGTATTCAAATTCTAAACAAACATACACTATGTCTTCCATGTGACCCAGTCGTATGACACTTTTTACGGCTGTATTCAAATAATACTTGGTTCTGGTGCTATAATACCAGGATGATAGACTACTTTGAAAAAAAACCCATGGAGATTGCAGATCTTAATTGGTGAATCATTTTGTATTTAAGCCCAATGAACAGTTGTTATTAATTACACAGAACTAGTGTATCTTTTGAGTAAGTTACGTACAACAACTCCTATAAACTAAAAATAATTCATTTAGCTGATGTATGATTTGAGTACAGTCCAACAATTCCTTTATATAAACTAAAAATTGCAAAAAGTAAAAGACTAAAGCAACAATAAATAACCGATAAAATAAAAAATAAACATTAAGGAAATAATTGCTTAATTAAGTTCTTAATTTATTGATGTAAAATATTTGCTTGTTACAAAACAAGCAGCCATTATAATCATATTATCTTCCTGTTTCTGTTGACGTGTTCGTTTTCTAATCTTAAGTAATTCGTGCAGTCAAACAAAGAAATTTATTGGTATTTTTTATAGCATAATTTATTTTAGATTGATCCTTCTGTGGACCCCTGGCGTCTATGTAAAATACGAAATAAGATAAAATAAGTCCCAAAAGGATGTTGAGTGATTAATTGTATCTGAATTGTTTTATCAAATGCCGAGGGAGTAAAAATTTAGAAAAATAATTCAAGTAATGCCCTACATAAAAGTAAGAAGTTGTTAAAGAAAAAAAAGCACAGTGCTTATAACAGAAATTAAAATTTTAAGTACGGTATAATTAAAATAAAACCTTGAGTTTTAGTTTAGTACTATTGCGTAGAATGACTTTCGGATAACAGAGTTTATCAGTCTGAATCATTAAACATAAGAAAATGTAGCTACAGAGCTAGTGTCGGTCCTCCATTTCAAAGATCGATTAGTGACATAAATTACCGAGTGATGAAGTATAGGCAGATGAATACATAATAGATAAATTGATCGATGTAAGTATTGTCTACATCTACAAATTTCCTAGAAATAAATGTGTATATATATATGAAAGGATTTTTTTTACTCACGTCTAGCACGTATCTTGCGCTGCACCTGTCAAACGATTTGGCTGTATATTTTATAATATAAGCTTTTCAGCTGGTAGGTGTAGAATCTAGCAAACATCCGATGCAGCCCGAAGTTAACAAGGGGTTTATGTGGATTTAAAAACGCCTCTACTGGCGGATATATATTTTTTCTAAATTATGGGCAGCTCATATGCCCATGGACAAAGTCAACTATTTTGAATATTCTATTTACTCTCCTTTGCCCTTACACCTTGTGATGTTGTTGTTTTTATAAATAGGGCTAACAGTTATTCCATAGTTTTACTATCTTTAGATCCGAGATACAACATAAAGGCAAAAATTCAGTATTAAGCAAGGGAAAAGATAAGATACTCGATTAGGTAGACTCTGAAGATTCACTTTCTGGATAGTTTAAGTGACGTTTAATAAGACACATAAACATTATATAAACCTGTAAGGTCAATATCTTTTTTAAAATTAATCACACAAACAGAAATTACAAAACCGGTATAATTCAGAAAAAATAATCATGTAAAATTTAAATACTTGTAGTTACAAACTCTAATTATTTATATTTATAAAGAAATGTAATCATTATTTAAAACACTAAGGATAAAACTTAAGAAAAATTGATGTGAAAATATTTATATATTAAAAAAAAAACTCTTACCTCCGCATTTCATGCCAGTAAGTAAAGAAACAGTAAAGATGTCAAAAGAGTCACACTCATATACAGAGGAACGTCTTGCGCGTCTGTGGAAGCTTGCAATATAACACAACAATTATTATTTTAGATATAAACTTTTCACTTCAAAAAGTCTGTGATACCTTCTGTAAAATAATTTTTATCTTACGTTTATTCAGCGGCAGTGAACAAAATACTAGAGAAAATATACATTGGAACTTTTCTTTGCATAACACAATAATGTATAGCTTGTGTCTTTACTGATTTACATTTTATTGTATACTGTAATACAATACTGACGGCTCTGATGCACAAAAAATTACCGAGGGCGAGTTACTTCAGCATAATATCTAATTTTTTGTTGCAATGTTGTAAATATTATGAGGAAACTTTTATCATGAACAACTGGTTATTTTAGCAGTACAAAAGTAAAAAGGTACTGTTTCATCTAGATAAAAAAATCTTACCAGCCTTTCTATGATAAGGTATACAAATATATATCTAATTAATAACGTTACTTTAAGAAATAACTATAAGCAGTCATTTTTTTAAATACTGAATTATAAATTTTCCTAGCACTTTTCTTGAAATTAACTCCTAGCAGCCTTATTTTTCTGGATAATACATAATTTCAGAACTATCTAACAGGATTTTATATTAAGGATAACTCCTAGCAGGTTTATCATAAAATGATGTAGAGAAATAAACGTAAATGACAAGGTTAAATATGTATCAGTATTTTAGGCTATTGAAATACATAATCTGAATCTTAATGTTTCTAATTGTTATTGACTTCGTTTATAAGAAAGTTGGTTAAATATATGTTACAAATATGATTGAAATGTACCATTGAAGAAAATAAACAACCCCTAAAACGACACATGGTTACTTCTGGTATATTAAATCAATATAATTAACGGTATTAACACAATTACTTCCTCCAGAATAGCCTCGACAGTTTGGTTAACTTCACCAACTTTCATTCAATTACAGAGAATCGCATTTTGAATTTACTATGGTAATACCTGCTGGTACTCCAAATCAAATAAGATCAAATGTAATTTAAAAGTTACGGTTTAAACACCGAAAGCCAGGGAAATATTGTAAAACAAATAGTTTTATAAACAGTTTAAAAGTAAGTTAACTGCAGATCCTTTTAAAGCATTATATTACATACATAAATAGCGTTTTATAGAATATATTGTCTCTCACCTTTCACACCAATGATTAGTTCTGGTATTGAACGAAAAGCTTATTGTGCAGTGAATTGGTGAAGACAAACTATATATTTGAACTACTATTTTGATACATTTCTGATTTCGAGCCGCAGTGGAAAAATTAAGAGGAATATGAAAAATAATACTCGTTTTTATATCGCGAAACACAATTATTGAAATAAATTAACTATTCGTCAAAACTGTCATAAATATAAGAAAATAAGAAGCCAGATAATCCGTTCGAAAGGTATCGGGTTATCGGGCTTCTGATTTTGTCATTTATTTATTGTCATTTTTACCCTACGTCTTTTAGTATCATTAATATTGAATATACGATACCTAAGAAACGATCATTTCCTAAAGTAATAAGTATTTCACCTAAAGATTGCCTATAAAGTAAAATGAACTTACACAAGTTTAATAATGTTAATGTTCTTGAACAGACTTTAAAACTATGAATAGTGATACAATCTTTCTTTTAGGATTCGTTTATATTAAGATAAATAAAATAACTACCTATATTTTCACTAATCTAGTTTCAAAGATACATTTTGGAGATATAGGTCGTTAATTTGTTGAACTTAATAGAGATGATATAAACTCCAGTTTGCGTTAAACAAAGTTAAGAATAATAATTTATTTTACGATTTTTAATTTTTAGAATGTTTATGTATTTAAATATCATGTTTGGACGTGCACGGTTATCTATCGTTTATTTAATTTGCACTAGTCCTCAAGTAATATTTTCGTCAATTCTGTTTACTTTTGATCAGGTTTTTAACCAATAAATGCTCTGAAAGCATGTATTTTAAGCCAATGCAGTTGAAAAATACGTGTATGTGGATATAGTATTTTACGTTATGACATTACTGTTACTGTTGTTGTTGATGTTGAAGTATTACCCTAGAGGTAAGGTAACTAGTCAGCAACGCCCACTCTAATCGAATAGTGTAATTTGCCTGTCACTCTTTATGCACTCACGGCCCCAAAGGGCGGAGAATGGTGTTTTTTTTTGGCACCAGAGTCATGAAACCTCAGATCAAAAGGCTGCACGCGAACTGCTGGGCCGTACTCAGGACCACCGATAAAGGGAGGTAACGGGGAATTACCCCCCGGCCCGGGGTCATCAGGGGGCCCGTACAAATTAACTTTTCAGGGTGCATTAAAAATTTTGCCATGAAAAAGGCTCGGAAAGTTGCATATTATAGTTAACTGATATTATGGGGGCCCATATGTACATGATTAACCCAGGGCCCAGAATAAATCTCGGCCGCCCTGGCCGCACTCAGCCCCATTACATTAGAATTAGCCCAATTAATGTTCATAGTTCTTCATATTCAATAACTCTCTTATTTAACAAGCTAATTAAAGAAAGAGGAGATCATTTGTTACAAAAACCATTCGTTTGCTTTGTGAGCAAAATGAGAGTTAAAATTTATCTTTCTAAATATTGAGTGCATAGGAAACTCGAAATAGAAACCCCAGTTACATATTTCTGAAATATTTTGAGATAAACATGGCTTATGAATAATTTATTTTTATTTTAATCCATGTTTACTAGACATTTTACAAAGATACACAATTCGCTTCCTTCAGACTTATATATATATATTATGAATAATTTACATATGTAATTCAAAAAGTAATATTATGCTGTTAAATATACGAATTGTATAGAATTGTATAGAATTTTCCATCTAATATGTGAAGCATGAGTTAAACTGCTAGGCAAATACTTTAAGGTTCGGGTACAGCTGTCTTTGATTTAAAACTACTGACCAAAAGGAGGACATAGAGAGAAAACTAAATAGATCATAATATGATTATCGAATGTTATAACATATAATATATTTATGATTATGTTAGATCAGTATGAAATTAATTCCCAAAATGTATGTTTGTAAGAAAATTGTCAATTTTAGATGTCACACGAAAGAAATTATAACTAAGTTCAGTTTATTCTTTCCTTCAATATACATAGAATTCAATGAATAAATGTTGTATTTTGATATGTATTGCATTATGGTTTATAATGTTTTGTTCCATCTGTTGTTCTTGGGTTAAAAAGAAACTACAGTATCGAAAATGAACACATTGTATTTATAATCGTGTGGTATATGTTGTATAATACGTTTGTATCATGCGTGCTAGCTACGTCTGACTATCGGTGTGATTATAACTGCATTTACTTGGATTAATGAGCTTTTTGTTTTCTCAACTTAGACGTTTTACACAAACGTATCTGTGTTGTTTCCTCTCCAAATAAATATGCTAATATTATAAAGAAGAAATTGTTATAGATAAGAATAAAACACAATTATTAACTTAAGCCACAACTTAGGGCTACCCCAGATTTTAAAGATGAATAAACTATATTTTCAATAAATTACCACTTTTGCTTTTTTATTGAAGTGGATTTTAATGTGAACTATAAGGCTCATATATAAACACCAGTTGACGATCAGAAATATAAAAAAGTTGTGTTTATTGTATGCTGTTTCCTATTATAACCCGAACTTAGCGTAGTTATATAAAATACATAAAGGGCGATAATACAGCGGATTTCGCTATATAATACAAGTAATAAATACTTCTTCAACACGTGAGCTTTTCACGATAATGCATCACAAACGACGTAGTTTTTATTCGTTTCTGTGAAGACATATAAAGCAGCACAAGCTCTGACAGCGAGCTACCACCCTAAAAGTCCCAGTGGAGGGCGTAAAGATGTTCGTATAACACTTTCCAGAAAATCGTTAAACTTTGTAACTTGAACTAACTTCTAGGTAGTACAATAAACCTGAAGTGTTATTACGCTTTTTAAAACAACTAATGTTTTCTAAAATTCAGTAAAATAGGCTAAACGTAGTACGCCAAAATTTCATTACAGCTGTACTTTTATTGTAAAGGTTAAAAAATAATATTGTGCTACCAACTAGCAAAGTCTGTTATTTTGGTTGTAACCTTGTGGAATTGTCGTCGATAAAGGAAAGTTTAACCTGTATATTATAGTAACTTTAAATGACCGTGACTTGGTTCGTCGAAACAGCAAATGAAGTGATCTATCTTTGTCTTTGCTCAACTGATTTTTTTTCTTTCTCAGCTACAAACAATCTAAAGTCTAAATTATTTTTGTGATGACAAGAGAGTTACAATACATTACACATCTAATGACAATTTTGTTTTTAATCATATTTTGTATTGAATTTTAAGTTTCACCGTAAATTATGCTACTTTAGATAGCCAATAGGTGTTCAAACTTCTTTTAAGATATGTTTCTATGAAAACCTCAAACTATAATCATAAAAAAACTATTTTTGTTTTACAGTGAACGGCCTAGTGGTAAATTTATTATAAACATGCAAAAACGTCTTTTGTAAAAAAATAAACATATAAACATTTACGCAAAGGCCTCTCCAATGGGTCAGTGGTAAGGTCTGAGGGCTCACACCGCTAAAAATCGGGTTTCGATACTCATGGTGGACATAATACAACTTCCGGTGGACAATTGCCAGTGTAGGACAACTGCCAGTCAAAAGATCTGAGTAATCCAAATCCCCAAAAGAAAAGTTAACACATGTACTTTAAAGGAAAATTGTATATATTTTAAACCAAAAGGCCGTTTACAATTTTCATTATCATTTAGTAGCTATTAAGTAATTAAATTTTTAATAGCCAATATTATATAATAACGTTATATAAAGTTAGCGTATGTATTCAGCTATTTCTCGTATTTCTGCAAGCCCAGTTTTGCTTTATGATTAGATTACCTGATCTACTGAATTATGAAATCTTCCTGGCCATTCATCAAAACAATCCAAAAATCTTATTTATTTTAAACCATACTTGTAATATAATTATATCAAATTATCGCCAGGTGTGGTTAGTTACAGTATATCAACAACTTAAAGTTCTTCGTTGATTATTTAATTGTATAAAGCATGATATTTATATACATATTTACCATGGCAAATACATTTAGTTATTGCAAAGGATAGGTAATTTATCCTACAATTGTAAATGAACATTTAATACAGGTAGCTTTACATTTACACCATTTACTACAAATGGAACATGGTAACCACAAACAGCGAGAGTAGAATATTACCGATGTTACATGCTTAAACTAAATGTTGATAAGGTTTTGAGGTATTCCCTGATAATGCTGTTTTGCGGGATATCTCTACTCTCAAGGATCCCTTCACGGGATCCGAAGTATCTTCATGGGATTGAAGACCAGTAAGCGTGTAAAACACTTCATTCTGTCACTCTCATCTTTGTCAAGGAATGAGCCTACCAGTTTAGCGTTGTGGAGCCGAGGCTTTCTTACTTTGTTTAAGGCAGAATCAGTTTCATAAGCAACGTGTCAAGCTAAACAGAAAGTCATGAGATGTGGTTCGGTGTTATCGCTCAACTGGATGTGTTTTTATTTTAGCACCATCGCAGGCAAACTGTTTTGTTCTTTAATTTTTTTATTTTTAGTTACGGAGAAACAAGTGACTAAGTTTGAAAAAGCCTTTACAAATCTGTTACATTTCAATTGGTTTACCTAGTTTCATCAAGTGGAAAGCCTTGAATGGAAGCATGCAACAATTATAAACCGATTAGGGTTAACAAAGCGGCACAATAAGTACTGAAATCCTTAATTTACAATAACAGAAATATTTTACAATATACACAATAGATGAAAATGTTAGTTTATGAACGGTTAGATTCTAACTATACGTCTGCGATACACAATGAAATTCAAAATATATAAGCACGACTAAGAAAGGCTAAATCTTAGTAATGTGTAGGATAAACCATTTTTCATATATAATAACAGTATTTTCGAATAAAAACGTAATTTTTAACAATTCGTCTATTAGGCATTGCTATGACAAATGTGAAAATTGTCAATTTCAAAACAAATAAGTCTACATTATAAATTTACGTTATATTCATAATATAGGAACGGATAAGAATTGGTGAGGATGTTTTATCAAGGGCAATTAAGTTAGGAAAGTACGGTATCAAAAACCATGAAAAAATAGGAAGAAAGAATACAGAAAAATACTTTTGTGGGATGCCATTTACATCAAGAGGAGTTGTTGTAATTTTTGTTTTGAAAAAACTTCTAACTAAGAACATGTGAAACATCAATGCTATGTCAAAATTGTCTGACCCTCAAGACCACATCCTGCAAGTTTTGTATTCCTAGAGTCAAATAATTATGAATAAAAGTTGTTAATTTTATTATTTTGTCCGTAATACCGTTCCAAACACTTATTTCAACTCACTCACAGCACACTACTCTCTAAATTTGTATCTTTTGTTTTTATATCGAGTAAATAATTGTATTGAGTCTTTGAAGTAAACTTATCATTAAGTTACTCACCTGGATAATAAACTAGAGATTTCTCTGCTTTATATTCGGTTTCTGGTATACTTAGTAGACACTTAAAAATCTTCGGTTCATCTCCCCTCAAATCCTCCATGGTCAGATCCTTTAAAATCTCTACGCTATAGGCACCTGTCCTGTCCTGATTCTTATTGTGTTTCAAATTAGACGTCAACAGTCGAGACGACGAGGGACTCTTCTCCTCGTACAAAGTTAAGTGAGGTAGTGGAAATACTCCTTCAACCTGACACCTTATCTGTTCATGATCGGATGATATGTACGTAGAATTCAGGGTGAATACAGTTGGGGGAGCTAAATATATATATATAAATGTAATTCCTTATATACAAACTGTGACCATGAACATGATGCATATAGATAATGTAGAAGTAAGGTGGTTCAAGTCACAACCATATAGTATTACTTTATAAGATAGAGACACAAGTATAAACTAAAGAACAGTAATTACTGAAAGTGTGTTATCAAACTATGACAAGAAATATTGTAGCTACGTAAGGTAACTATGTAATAATACACTAACATAACAGCAGATCTGCCGAAAATATACAGAAGTATTAAACTATACTAATGAATATGACATTTCTACGTAAGTTAAATTAACTTTTTTTGGCTATTGAAATTATGTATATATATATATATATATATGTACTAGTCTAGACCGTATAGATTACTAAACGAACACAACATTTAACATATAATAATTGTTTGTTTTCGGATATTCGCACAAAGCTACCCAAAAGCAATCTGCAGTAACCGTTCCGAATTTTGAAATGATAAATTAGAAGACAGCAAGTCAACAGCTTTCACCACAAACTACTTGGCTACTCTTGTCTGACCGTTACCCTTATAACGCATCCACGGCCCAGAAGTGCTGAGCGGTTTTTTTTTTCTTCCACCTTATAGTAACGGTACGCAAACGATAGGCTTGTAGATCGATAATCTTGCACGCTAACCACTAGACTACGCTCGGTCCGTTTAATATTATAAACGTAGGTAGTTCAAATAGTAATTAAACTGTTACTATTTAAATGATATGTAATTATACGAACAGTTTAAGCTATTTCGTTTAGTACAGGGCTTTGACAATTTAAACGATAAGTAATATTATAATCAGAATTTAATTTTTTTTATGTTATTATGGAACTGTAGCCTACAAAACAGAAGCAGGTGCTTCCGAAACTAGGAACCACACTCCTAGAACTGTGTATTTCACGTTGTAAGAGTTGTCTTGAATGAAATAAGTTATAAGGATTGGTTTGTTTTGAATTTCGCGCAAAGCTTCACGAGGGATATCTACATTAGCCGTCTTTAATTTAGTAGTGAAAGAAGGGAAGGCAGCTAGTCACCACCACCCACCGCGAACTCTTGGGCTACTCTTTTACCAACGAATAGGCGAGCATGCTTGGTGGGACGGGGATTCGAACCTTCGATCCGCAGAGTGCAAGTCAAGTGCCCTAACTACCTGGCCATGCCGGGACACAAGTTATAAAGAATTCAAGAGTGTGAAATATGGCTAACAAACAGGAATGAAAAACAAGCAGATACAGCGGTATACAATACAGACAACACGTTCAATGAAGCGTGTTGACTTTAAAAATAAAACAGTGGAAGAAATTGAAATCCTTGAATGTCAGGTAAGAGATTGTAGTTAAAATGGAAGAAACTTACAGTCAGGAAACTGTAATGTATAATAGTTAGGTTACAAACAAGTTTGATAATACAGAAACAAATATAATTGAATAGTTAGTGAACAAAGTACATGACAGTTTTTTGGGATGGAGATATAAAGATTTTGAAGATGGAACAGGATGTTGTTGGTTTCCTAGTGCAAGCCTACACAATGGTTTCTCTTTACTCTGTCCACTGCGGGTAATCAAACCGCAGATATTTGTTTTATAAGTCCGTAAACTTACCGCTGACCCACCGGAGAACTATAGAACACGAACTAATCAGAAAATTTACTAGTAAATCTCAAGTGACAGTAAATGAATCTAAAAGAACTAAAAGGAAAGAAATTAGTGCGAACTTAGTTTATGAAATGGGAATGGGTTTATAACTTAAGTTTGGTGGGATTGACAAAATACAAAAAGTTAAAATAGTGAATGCGGAAAGAAGTAATCTCCGTAGCCTATTGTGTAGATTTGTGCTTTGAAGGAAGTAATCTCCATAATCTATTGTGTAGATTTGTGCTTTGAGGGAAGTAATCTCCGTAACCTATTGTGTAGATTTGTGTTTTAAAAAGAAGTATTCTCCGTAACCTATTGTGTAGATTTGTGCTTTAAAAAGAAGTAATCTCCGTAGCCTATTATGTAAATTTGTGCTTTAAAAAGAATTAATCTTCGTAGCCTATTGTGTAGATTTGTGCTTTGAAGGAAGTATTCTCCATAATCTATTGTGTAGATTTGTGCTTTGAAGGAAGTATTCTCCATAATCTATTGTGTAGATTTGTGCTTTGAAGGAAGTAATCTCCATAATCTATTGTGCAGATTTGTGCTTTGAAGGAAGTAATCTCCGTAGCCTATTGTGTTGATTTGTGCTTTGAAGGAAGTAATCTCCATAACTTATTGTGTAGATTTGTGCTTTGAAGGAAGTAATCTCCGTAACCTATTGTGTAGATTTGTGCTTTAAAAAGAAGTTATCTCCTTAGCCCATTGTGTAGATTTGTGCTTTGAAGGAAGTAATCTCCATAACCTATTGTGCAGATTTGTGCTTTGAAGAAGTAATCTCCGTAACCTATTGTGTAGATTTGTGCTTTAAAAAGGAGTAATCTCCGTAGCCTATTGTGTAGATTTGTGCTTTGAAGGAAGTAATCTCCATAACCTATTGTTCAGATTTGTGCTTTGAAGGAAGTAATCTCCGTAGCCTATTGTGTAGATTTGTGCTTTAAAAAGAAGTAATCTCCGTAGCCTATTGTGTAGATTTGTGCTTTAAAAAGGAGTAATCTCCATAGCCTATTATGTAAATTTGTGCTTTAAAAAGAATTAATCTTCGTAGCCTATTGTGTAGATTTGTGCTTAAAAACAAACAAAAATTACCCTGTATCTTGTGGTTAACATGAATAAATCTCTATCATTTATTGTTATCGTTACACTATATTTGAGTGGTCCTGTGATTGATGCCGCTGTTCATAGTCGACATTTCTTCTTTTATTTCCTATCTCTCGAATTTTTATGCAAAAGAGTACAAGTTTTGGAATATTTAAACAGTAAAGTTATCCAGATGGAACTAAAATATATTGAGACAACTCACTGCACAGACAAATGGGATTTCGAAATTTACAGTCCTAGTTTTCGCAACTTTTCAAGATAATTTTTACTTTATTTTATCGCAAAGCTATACAATCTGTGCTTTTTCCACCTCAAGGAATCGAACACCGGATTTTAGCCTTCTAAGTCTACAAGCTCACTTCTTACCCATCACCAAAATACAAAATTACAATATATAGTATTGGGAAAAGGTTGAAATTATTAAGTTTCGTTAAAGAAAAATGTGTTGTTAGAATATTAAAGAAAATAACAAATGTAAAGCTTGTGTAATGTAGAAATAAAAAAGTAAAGGGCTATATGATTGTGCATTTATATAGACTAATACTTCTGTAAATAGAATATTATGTGAAGTTCTTGGTAAAGATCGATTAAAGGAGTGGCTCCCTACTGGCTCAGCGGTAAGTCCGAGTGCTTAAAACCCTAATAATTGGGTTTCGATACCCGGAGATGGCAGAGTGTGTCTTTGTGTTAAGAACAATAAAAAAAAATATTAAAGTAGTGAAAAGAACAATTGTAAAGAGATTTTATTTTCTTGTTACTGGTGTTGTTATCTTTCTCTGTGGAAATGTACTGAAGATGAGTTGTTTAGATGGTGTGAATGATGCAAAGGTCTAATTTGATATATTTGTTCCTATTTTGTATTCTCAATATTTTAAGTACACAGATACTCTTTTTTCAAAAGAATTCTCCTTTATATGTCTGCCATCTCGCAGATAACATAAAAGTTACAAATATCAATAACATGATGTTTTTATTTATGTGCAAAGCTGAATAATTGGCTCTCTATGTATGGCCACTATAGGGATCGTAACCTTGCATTTTAGTACTTTAAGTCCTCTAGCTCATAGGGGATTATAATACATGATATTTTTCTCTTATGATAGGTTTTCTTCTTTTATAATCACAGATAATAGTCTTATAATTATTATTACTATTTCACTATCAGTATAGTCTACTGGAAGTTCTCTAAATATAAGTTTAGGAACTGTATTTCCTAACTTGCTTTTTACCGGTATTTTCACAAGCCCAATTTATGAGGTGGTTTTTAAGTCCTAGTACATCTTTTCAAACGTGTTTTGACTTGTCTGATGGTTTTTCCGCTGAGTTTTGAGGGGGTAACCAGAACATTTATATCCAGGTGTTTCAAGTGGCTATTTTGACAGGGTAGAATGTGTATTGCAATACTCCTGCTTCAGCTTTAGGATTCTGATCTCTAAGCATCATTGGAGGAACAACTAGATGCACCGTAGATGATGTGAATGTGTACTTTATATAATTCTCGTTCCTTACCTGATATGCCAATCATTGATAAGCTTGAGGGCTTATAACACTAAAATTCGGGGCTAAATATCCGCAGTTGATACAGTGCAGATAGCCCACCATGTAAATTCGTGATTAAAAACAAAGAAACATTATCTGGTATCACGTGTTTAACATGAATACATCTCTTATACATTATTGTTTTATTTACACTATATTTTAGTGATCCTGTGATTGATGCCGATGTTCATGGTCGTCATTTGTCGAATTTTTATATCTTATGCTAAAGATTCCAAATTTTGTACTCATTACTGAGCCTTCTGAGATTAATTTTAATCTACTGAACATTTAACTCAATAAGGTAAGTATGATGTGTGGAGTACACTTTGGAACGACTGAGCAGGAATTTTACCCATGGTGTTTGTGTAGAGTATTTACCAAATTTGTCCCCTGGCGGGTCAACGGTAAGTTTACGGATTTATAATGCTAAAATCCCGAGATTGATTCTCGCGGTGGACAGAGTGCAGATAGGACAACGCCTTGTGTAGCTTTGCGTTGAAACAACAATAATTATTATCATATCTGATAAGATTTTCTACAAAGCAGTATTCCATTGAGAAAACTTAGGGTTAGATTTCATATACATCTCTTCAAAGTTCGAATAGCTATCTTGGCTAAACCATTGGTTGCAGGGTAGTATGATTAGTTAAAATATCTGGTTACTCCATCCCTCTTGAGAAATGTCTTGAGCTCCTCTGATATGAA